CTCCTCCTCCTCCTCCTTCTCTTCCTCCTCCTCCTCCTCCTCCTAGCCAGTCAGGCAAGGAATGACAAGCGAGCGCCAGAAAAACAGTAGCATGAGATCTTCTCCAAATAGCCCTGCCCTATGGGAAGTCGAACCCAAACCCTACTCGTTGGTCCGTTGCCCCCCCCCCTCTCATTTCTATGCCCCCCCCCCTAAATCCATGGTCCCTGACGCAGCTGTTGGACCGCGCGGTCCAGCACGGTACAATACAGTGGACTGGAGTGTGCGCGTGTGGAAAACAGGATCGTCCTCGTCGTCATCATCATCGTCATCACCCACTCTCTATTTGGAATAGACGTTGGCTGATATGTCGACCCTCATCCCAAACTGTGGGAGGTTTTTGGGTGGACCAACAATTCTGGGCCCAACGCTGGGCTCTACGGCGTGAAGTCCGGAAGTCCTCTCGGAGGTCTCTGGCGGCCACCTGCTCGCGCTCTTGGGCTCATCTCGGGCCTGTTATGGGGTGGTCTGGAGCTGTCCGGGCGCCTGTGCGGAACTCGAGGATCGGGGAAGGAAACATCGCCTGCGAGATAAGAAGTAAACCTTAACACGATTGCTGATGCAACGAGGTTCCGAGGACGGCACCACCAGCGGCCGCAAGCGCCTCCGCAGCTGCACGCTCCGCGGCAAAGTTCCTTGGTGGAGGATCGAACCGCAGGAGCCCATGAGATGCTTATGCTGCGCAGGGCCAGCTGTCAAAGAACGACAAACCTCCCGTTGACAACAATCACCCACCTAGAACATGTTTTAATGCACCTCTAAGCACGATGAATTTTCACACTCACGCCGTGAGCCTGTAGAACCCGGGCAAAACCGTGGTTCCCGAGAAGGGCGTCAAAAAAACAAGACATCTTCCGCGCTGCGCCAGACGCCTGGCAAGACCACGGCGTTGAGGCGAACGCAAGCACAAAACTACCAGCGAACCGAAGAGCACAATATGCAAGAGGAGAGCGGGAGGAAGAGGCCAAAGAAAAGGGGAAACACGAAAAAAACTTCGAAATACAAATCTTCAAAATCAGTTCTCTGAACTCGAGAGAGCACAACTGGGAGACCATCCCTTCAAAGCATCGGAGAGAACAAGAGGAAGAGAGAGGAGGGGGGATGGGGAGAGAACGGGGGAGGGAGGCGAGCGGGGAGGGCCAAGCCCCAGCGGTGCGGGCCTTGCTCAAAGATTTCGCTCCGCGCTCTCCCGTCTGGCCTCGTTTTTTTCGACCGGAATGCCGCTCGCGCACCACCCTCTGAAACGCTGCCGGGATTGGCGCGGTTTTCTTCTCGCTCCGTCGTCCGCCGTCACCGCTGCTCGTCCGTCGTCGTCGGGTCCTGTTGTTTCCCCCGTGTCTTCCCCCGGTTAAAAAAATGGAAGTCGCGCACTGACCCCGCCATTACAATAAAGCCATGCCGGTTGCTAAATGTGAAATGTAATCGGGCGACACAAAACCAAGCTTTTCCAGATGACGGGGGTGACAAGGGGCGATCACGAGGAAGAGGACGCGAAGAGGAGAGATGGAAGAAGCGGGAGAAGACGGGAAGCCTTTTTTTATTATTATTGATATTATTATAATTATTGTGTTTTATTTATGTATGATGATATCTTCTTAATGTTTAGTATGTTCTTATGTTTTTGTATTTTATTAGATGTTATATTCATTTATATTGTTTGTTTACTTTTATATTTCCCTACCTAGGCTCTGCCTAGAAGGGTTCTTGCTCTCTTAGCTTAAAGGGGCCGGGAAGTGCACAGCGCCCCGGGCGGTTCCCCCAGTCCCCTGGGAGCGGTTCCCCCCAGTCCCTTGGGAGCTTTAGCTTTAGCTTGAGCTTTAGCTTAGCTTTGGCTTAGCTTCAGCTTAGCTGTAGCTTAGCTTTAGCTTAGCGATTCGCTTAGCTTTTCGCTTAGCGTATAGCTTAGCTTTAGCTTAGCTTTAGCTTAGCTTGAGCTTGGCTAGAGCTTAGCTGTAGCTTAGGTTTAGCTTAGCTGCAGCTTAGCTTTAGCTTAGCTTTAGTTTAGCTTTGGCTTAGCTCTAGCTTAGCTTTAGCTTAGCTTTAGCTTAGCTTAGCTGAGCGGTAGCTTAGCTTTAGCTTAGCTTTAGCTTAGCTGCTGCTCAGCTTTAGCTTAGCTTTAGATTAGCTTTAGCTTAGCTGCAGCTTAGCTTTAGCTTAGCTTTAGCTTAACTTTAGCTTAGCTGTGGCTTAGCTTTAGCTTAGCTTCAGCTTAGCTTTAGCTTTAGCTTAGCGTTACTGTTACTACTAATTCTGCCTTCCTAAGGGTTCCACCTCCTAGGTAGGGTCGCACTGGGATAATTTTCTTATGTTCGATAATTCTCTGAACTTGCACGACCTCAGCAGAACTTCATCATCTCACCACTGGTCATGCGTCTCGATGCATATGTGCTTCACACAGCGGCAATCGAATT